TCTAGACCCATTACTATTCTCGGAATGTTCGACTATGTGGGTAATGGCGTGATATTCGATCACAGTGGTAAAATAAGGTAATTGTAACTAAAATCTAGTCAGTTATAGAATGTTTAATAAGAAAACGTTGCTATTATATTTTTTTTTGTCAATTCTCATTATTTAGTTTAATTATGTCCATGCCATGCTCGCATTATAGGAATTTAAATAGGTACTGGGATATAATAGATGGGATAGTAGTCGACCAACTATTGTAAAGTGTTTGCAAAGTACCTATTAATACAAATGATAGTTTTTAAATTTTTAATACCTATTAATACTTACTGCTAGGTAGGTAATGGTAGTTGAAAAGAATCAAAATAGTAAGATTTTATTGTATATTAATTTACTACATATCTCATGCAGCAACAATTTCCGATTTTGTACTTGAATTACGAATTATAAAAAATACACGAACTCGAAAATTTGCAATTTCAATAAAAAAAATCATTAGGGATGATAAGTTTTATTAATAATTAATTACTGGTAACATTTATGGTGACTTCAAATTACTTACTAGTGATTTGAAACTTCTCTTGAACAAAATTAATCACAGACATGACTCCAGGATAGTATTATCAATAGTCTAATTGAACACATGAGTTGATTAATAGATGAGTTGGATTAAAAAAATTACCACCAGCAAATAAATTGGTTCCAATTATCCTAATTAAATATTATGTGTAGAAGTTTATACCTATATCTGAGTAGCTTTTTTATTTTTAACTGATTTCTCAGCGTTTGGCTTTATGTATGTTTTCAGATATATCCGTCAATTGTGCACCGATTTTGAAAAATCTTTTTTTGTTTGAAAGGGTGCACATGCCATTGTCGTCAAGTCAGAATCTGATGAGGGGATTCCATGAAAATCGAAGGAAATCCTCAAATTTTATAGGCATGCCCATGTATTCACCAATTTCTCCATCAATTGTGCACCGTTTTTGTTTGAAAGGGTATACTCTCGAGGCGGTCCCTAATGCTGTTCCGGGTTCGTTTCGGCTATCACAAATCACTAATTATTTTCCGCAAATAAAAGTTTACACTTATATTTAAAAACTTTTCACTTGACACAATACATGTAATCAATGAAACACCATCACCATGATAACCAGAAAAGACAATACCAAATGTATAAAGGAGTCCGTAACAGTCCCATTGTCCCCAAGATTCAGGATCTGATGAGGGGATCCCGTGGAAATGGAAAAAAGCCGATAAGCAAACTTTTGAAGTCGTTTTTTTTTTACATTGAAAAAATTATAAGTATTTAATGTAAAGGACGTATCAAACGTCCTTTACATTACAACATTTAATTTACATTACAAGCTTACGGTTATATCACCGTAAGCTAAGTATGATAACTCATTCATACGGAGCAGCTCGGCTTATATGTGTACACGCCTACAGCGCACCGTGTACGGACGCACACATTCGCATAACAATGAAAGGCGCGTGAGACGATCAGTAGGGCTAGCACGATGAGACGCGATTTGCGCGAGAACAAAATACAGCTCTCGCTCAAGTCACGCCCTGTTATGCTAGCCCTACAGCGCTATGCATGGCGAGTGCTTCGCTAAATTATGCTAATGTGTGCATCCGTACATGCGGCGGCGCAGGCGCGCACACATACACACCGCACTGCTTATTTTGTATGAAGTTTATATCATACTTGTCATATTACACTACGCTTATAATTTACCTATAAATATATTACCTTATAATTCGTCTAAACCACATTCTCAAGTTTAGAACGAGCACAATAAGAGTTACTTTAGCCTGATAAAAGAATTTGTATCTTGTATATAGGTACATCGAAAGTGTGTAGGGATCAAGGTTATTTTTTAAATAATCAAATGTTATGCCGCCATTTTCGACTAACTTCAAAGCAAGTGATTGCGTGAGGTTCTTGATTTTAAAATGGAATTAATTTAATTAGGCAAAATACTTGACAAAAATTTCAGCGCCAATTTACTATTTGATAGTATCTCTTCTACGACCTTGAATTCCCACTGCACCTTTTGGCTACACCTTGTATAAATTTATTAAATTATTTATTTATTTATTATATTGACCGAAGAAAAACCCTATGTTCAATTCGACTCTATGTTTTTTTTGTATGTATATTACGCGATAACTCCGGTATTTGTGAACCGATTTTCATGATTCCTTTTTGTTGGAAAGATGGTACCTCTGTAGTGGTCCCATTTCATTTTGAAGAAAATCATTCACCTCCAAGGATTGCTGATTACGCATGGACATTCATTTTTATAATTAGCGCCTAAATTTTACTTAAGGAGCAATTATTTCAATGGTTGGTTTTGCTATTCTCCAATTCAAGGCGTTTCTCTCTCTCAATATAGTGTTTTTTTGCTTTGAATAGTGAGAACCGAAAGATTTTTATTATCTCCTGTGTCAAGTCCTGTATAGTGGCGAACTAGGGGATATTTCAATAAAACTTGGCAAATAGATGTAACACCATGTACGTTTGAGGTCTGTTTTTTTAGTACTCTGTACTGAGATTATAAATAATAATCCTGATTTTCAGTAATTGGCAAAAACGTTATTGATCCCTATGTTAGACACTTTTGATGAGTGAATATTTACCGTTGTATGTATGTATAGCATAGTGATTTTACTACAAAA